TCCAAAATCTGACCAAGAGTTTTCTACTTAATTTATTTTGAAATTATACAACATATAAACAACATCAAAGTCTAAGAGACGCCTGCAAGTCGCCTTTACACATCTTGGATCAATGAACGTAACGGTTCAAAAGCAACAGGGTTGCAGGACATATGCACGCGCACGCATACACATGCACGCACATAATAACATTTACACCCACATAAACACTTAACTATATGTTATAACGACATCAAACGACAGTATTAAAAGATGGTGAATTTAATCGCGTCGTGAAATCTTGTCTTGCGAATCATTCCCAACGCGGAAACATTGCGCGCGTCTGAGTACGCGCAAAACAATTTGGCAGCCGTCGTTCGATCGTACACATCGAACGTTTAAACTTTTATTAATAGAATCTACCTCACTTATTCGATGGTCAAATCGGTGCACCTGTACCACGTTGTCGTGCCAACAGCTATTCGCTCGTCGGAAACCAGCCGGCGCGCGAACGAACGCACAGCTAAAGGGGTGGACGCTTCCCCATTTCTCGCCGTGCAATAACTTACTTTCGCAAAAGCGTGAAAAACCTTGCACCAATGCATCACGGCAGTTCAGTCGAGCGCCGCATGATATTTTTATCAAAAGCACGTGGAAAATAACGGTCCCGCAGCGACCCGCAGCCCGTTCCTGTCAGCTGACATTACCTTGCAGTAATCAATGGTGTATTGCAATCGACACCTATTTTCCATTCGATTATATATCATGTAAATAACGATATACATTTATCAAAGCTGCGTGTGCAGTAAAATAATTTATATACGTTTCTATATAATTGAGATCGCGCCGAAAATCATTGTTACCTACAACAAATAAATGGCATTTAAATCACATATCATACTTTTTTAAATCCCTTCGGATAACATTTCGTGATAAATGACATTTCGTGATAAACAACCTTTCGTAATAAATAACAAAACTTTTATTATCGTTGAAATCGGAAACTATTTAGAAAACACGAATAATTTTTCAAAGTCGGCGTTTGTTTGAAACATTTGAAATATTGTCATCATATTTTCAGTCTTGCATTATTTTGTATTCGATTATAACCGCATCTAATATATCGTTTAACATCGCATGTCGTTTATCATGTGTCAGGTGCTGTGCGATTTGTCAAAATTTCATCCGATTCACATTATTGTCGCTATCGTATCGATAAAAATATAGTTGATGACGCCTGGGAAGAGATCACTGTTGCTCTAACGCTTGCCTGACTATCGTTTGAACGTGATACGAAATTTTTCCGGATTTAACGAAGTCGGAGCGGAAATCGGATTGTACCCGCGAGTTGTCCGCGCTGTCCAATTTTCTCTCCATTTCTTTTCTATCTCACTCTCTCTTTAACACGCGTGCGCGCGCGCGCACGCGATCGATCTTCCCGTTTTCATTCATTCGTACGTACAAGTACGTGCGCACAAGTAGCACACATGTCGGACTAAACTTCGCGCTGACAAAGGCGCGAGACAAAGGGAAGGAACGGACAGACGAACGGACGGGATATCGGTATTCTGAGTCGCTGAACAGGACGTGCGTTGTTCTGCTAACGGTGGTTGACAGCCGCACGTTGACATCGGCGTATACACGTGCATGTGTACGCGGATGCGGGCATAAGTTATCAAACGCGAGCTTTACACGTATGTGCTAACGTATCTATAATAAATGCCTGTGAACATTTTGGCAGAATCGATTCGAAGATCTCTTATTTCTTGAAACAATTAAAAGTACAATGGCAAAATTAATTCTTAATGGTGTTTACCAAATTTTCAACGAAGCAGGTTTAATATGGAAGATGGCATTTGTTTGCTGGAAAACATCTGCAAAAAATATTATATTTTGTTATTTAAAGATTGAGAGATATATAGAGAGAAAGAAAGAGCGTAGATTTTTTTTGATAAAAAAAATGCACGATTGCGTTGCTCTAATAATTAAGCTTAATAAAACTAATACGCCAGTATTGTAAAATCAATAATAAGATAATATATAAAAAAAAATAATGAGTTCTTATAACAATTAATACTTATCTAAATGAAATTATACATGTACAGAAATAAAATTATATTAAAAGTAAATTTAATTAAATGTAAAACATAACTAGAGAGATGAATTAAAATGACTTTGACATGGAAATAGCAGTCGAAATTTCAAAATATTTCACTTCAATCAACACGTAATTTCGTGAGGCGCGAGACTTGGATTTGAGTCATCTCGCGCGTATGATACAAAACTGATGTATGAATCACCTCACAGATAAAATGGTTTCATGAATCATCTCAGGTCTATGAACCTCTGAATATGCCTAAGGTTTTCGTACCACATCTGTTATTTTATTCGCAAATTTTCGAAAAAATTAAATACTTGTAAAATCTAATACTAGATGCAATAAAAATAAATGACTTTTTCTACTATTTTGCGTATATACGGGATGACGAGTGCCATGGCTCTCGGGCTTCGTGAGTAATTAGTAACTCAAAGGTCCGTGGTTCGATTTCGACCCGGCTTTCATCCTACATATACCTCGTTTAAGAGGTGGAAGGCCCATTTAAAATGGGAAGTAAAGTTAAGGATTAAAGTTCCAATGGATTAATAATCCGTTTAAGAGTTTAAAAGAATTATTGCATAGTGATAGTGGTCGACGGTAAAAGAGATTGATTGAAATATATATATTAGGATTAGAGTTGTTTGTGTCACATTGCCTTGAGCAGAAGACACCAATCTCCCTCAGGACCGGGAAATCAAAAAAACCCCCTTTTATAAGTTATCACATCTTTAGAAATGCATTTTAAAAATAAAAAAATTACCTATTTTAACGTCTGTGAATTTAATTTCTTGTGGCTTCTCTAAGAATTCTTCCGTACGTTCAGAATTACCTAGTTGACCATGATTATCTTTTCCCCACGTATATACCTTGTTGTCCTCAGTAACCACCACGAAAAAACTATCGCCGCAAGAAAGGAAAATGACCTTTTTTTTTTCCTATTTTACGTATATAAGTGCTTCTGTTTATTATCATTTTATTTTTTCTATAATGGAGTAAAAATGGAAGTTTTTAATCGATCCCCGTAGAGTTACAATTCTCATCCATGACTACCCTTCTCCTCTCACTTATAATCCTTTGGACCAACGGCTTAAAGTCTCTTTCCGAAAGACGGAGCCCAGTTTGCTCCGCACAAGAGCCTTTCTCGCACGAAGAGCGCAGCTTTCGAAAAATAAATTCCATGTTTACGTGCTCAAGTGGACTCGAACCTAGTTTCTCAGATTACGAGTCTGGCGCTCTACCACTAGACCACACTGCCGCCCCATCATCTTTTCTATATTTTTAATGTTTTAATTGTTTAAATCTAATTATTAAGAAACCAGGTATTTTACTTAGAGTAATTCAGTTCGTTACATGTGCACATTCATGTTTAATGCATTGAAGACAACCACGCTGTACACAGGTGTGCAACTTTCGCCTTGTTAGCTGATTCGACCTGACGTGCAATGCAACGTAAATGCATTAACACGAAACCAGAAGCGTGTTTCACATTCGAAGTTTACTTTTGCAGTGTCTAAGGATTATTTACAAGTTTGGCTACACATCGATTCGATGTTCGTATTATCAGCAATGGCCGATCGAGAGCGATCGTGTGAATCCATTACTTTAACGGCATCTCCGTGCATTTCCACGCAAATGCACGAATCTAGGAACAGTCGATCTTTGTGTCAATACGGAATGCTTTCGTGTTGGTTACATTAAGCTGCTAAATGTGTTTAACTATCAACACACAGTTGATGAGTTTAGTTTTCCACAGAAACAAATTTCCAGAAAACATGTATAAAAATAATCAATAGATTTGTTCTATTGATTATTTTTATACATATTTCTTTGACTAAATAGCAAATAATCTTCTTCTTTAATAAACATTTTAAATTATTAATTTTTCTTTGTTACGTCGATATTATGCCTGCTAAAAATTTAAACGTTTTTTTAAAATACATTTTAATAAATGCGTAAACGTATCTGTTTTTAACAATAGACATATGGTCATATTAAGTGTACTCTAATATACTCTATAAGTATACTCTGCAAATAATAAAAAACAATTCATAACTTTTTTTTATTCAATTCTTGTAATTTTCGATTACGTTTAAAAAGACATATTTCAATAAGAACTGCGAATTATGTACGTGTAGTTCTTTTGAAAACCGTGAAATTTATTTTATATTTCGCGAGGATTGCGTTATTAAGAGATGAAATTCTCTGTTGAGAATTCCGACCGTCCCATTTCAGCTCTTCCACCATGGGTACATATTAAAATGATGCCCACGCAAACTATGGTATTAGTGATATTAACCAGGGTCAACGCGCTGTAAAGGGCGTGATGATGTTTAGAATATACAATGTGTTTTGAATACAAGAAAACGTGAATATGCACAGAGATATATATTTGAGCAATGCAAACCAAATGTGAACACGGAAAAACGGATTAGCTACTATAACAAATCTGGTCGTAAAATATAGATAACTAACATTCTTTGCAGGGAGAGCTATAATTTAGCAATAGTAGCAAAACTTTAACAAAAGGTTTTGCTATTATACTATTGCTAAATTATAGCTCTTGCTTGCAAAAAATGTTATCCATATTTTACGACTAGATTTGCTATAATAGCCAATCGGCAATCCTCTTTTCCCGTGAATATATAAATATTAAAGCACACACAAATTACGAAATATAAAAGAAAGGGGGAACACGGAGATTCACAAAATTTATGTAAAAAGAGATGTTGATGATTCATAATAGCTATAACTTTGATAACGATAAAGTACATCTGAAAAATTGTTACTGTCATTTATCGTTTATCGGGCTGTTATTTTTACGACGTTATCGATTAATCTTTATACAAATAATTGTATTAAATTATTACACATTTGTGTATGTTTTATCTATATGATGTTTTGACAATCACTGTATGTTCGATAGGTGTCGTCAACAGAGGAGATTCATTTAGGAGAAGAAGATCGAGATCAAATTCTCTAGCGCCTGCCGATCAGGAGAACGAGGAACGACGACTGCCGCCCAAGGAAGTAGCTTCACACACCGTCGCTATGTTAGGTACAAGGGGAGTTGGGAAAACCGCCCTTATCAGTCAGTTTATGACCAGCGAATGTATAAATGCCTACGATAGACAAAGAGGTGAGTCTTACATCCTGTCACGCTATAGTATGATGTTTTACAGTACAATATATTGTAATAGTCGTGATGAAAACGCGATTTTAAATTTAAGAAAAAGTCACTTCTTTATTGTAACATTATTTTTTATTGTTAGTTAATACTCTTTAAAAAAATAATATCTAGGTGTTATTTTCAACAATTTATAAAAATAAACACGTTACAATCATGTTCAATGAAAAGATTTTAATAATAGTGTGCACGTTATAAATATTCTAGAGTCTTGAAATCGATTTTTTTTTTAATGAAAAAGCCTAAGCAATTTAATTAAAAACATTTACGGATTTTTCTGAAATATATGTGTTCTCCGATTGTTAATAAACAACGAACTTACTTATTATTCAATATTAAGTAAATTTTATTACAACAAAATCTTTGGTAAGGAAAAAATAATCTCGAACCGCAAATGAAAAAAAGTTATAAAAACCTATGGCACATTTAACGAGAAGTTTCCGGTTTCCGTTATATTATTATTTCGATCAAATTTCTGAAAAAATTACGAGTGATTCCTTCGATGAGTAAAAGCACAATGCGGTGAGAAATATGTAAACATAATCTTGTTCGAAAGCACCCAGAATTACGTCTGTTAATAGAATATTTTATTGCCACGTCGTGTAAACGTGACTATCACGTGGAAACGGTTGCAGGGAGGAAATTGACGGACATTTCTTCATCAATTCTATGGCAAATAATCTTTATGGCAACTTTCAACGGTTTATACTTCGCACCCGGCACGATCGTCTCGTAATATCGCGTGAGTTTACGCGACGGTGTGTATTTCGATTGCGCGCCCGGTGAAAAACGGCATCAGGCTCCGCCTGAGAAAGACGTAGTTTCCGGCTTCTTAAGCTCTTGAGATATGCGCTATTCTCTCCGAATAAGTAGGGATTGAACGGTACTTAAGTCGATATCTTGAAACGAGATCAAATAATACTGACATACTGCTTGATGAAAAAAGGGACGAATAACCCATGCGTCTGACCATACAATATCTTTTCCCCTTTTGTTTCCATTTCATAGAACAATATGATTTTTCTTATTCAAGATTATGAGATATAGGGGTAGCGAATATACATAAATCGAATACGGGATAGTAAAGTAATTAACACAATTTAAATATAGAGCAGAAAAAGTGGGAAATATAATAATATATGTAAAACTATAAAAAATATATATAAAAGTAATAGAAAATACAACGTACTTGAATACAAAAATATATGTCTTTTACTATTAAATATAATAATATTCATTACTTTATTATTTAAAAATTAAACTATTGCGACAAGTAAAATGCATACAAATTGGACGTAAATATATAAAAAGCAATATATTAAAATTTTTTAATATACAGTGCAAGATTGCAGTGATGTAATTTGCTTGCCTAATCAAAGGCAACTTCTAAAATATCTTAAATCTAATATACGGGGCGTTATTGAATTGCTCGGTAAATACTTTGCAGGCGAGTTCTTTGAACAAATTAAAATAAATATTTCTTTAGCAAACATTTCATGGCGCTGGTTTATTTCTCGCGTCCCTCTTAATCTTTAATATCTTTAATATCAGATATTTTAATAACTCAGCCATAAAGTAAAATTCCGTTAAAGTAACATTGACAAAGGATTTACCTCAAATTAAATGGAAAGTTTTATAACTGTATCTCGTTTATGAAAAATCTTGCGCTATTAATCACTTCATCCTCACAATTTTTCTTTTTTTTAACGCATGGTTTTACCGCATAAAAGCTCTCGAATCGTGAGTATCGTTTTATAAAAACGCTCGTCACCTGGTATCGATTACTAAAGTGTCAGTGATATCTCGCGTAATATAAAATTTGCATCTAGGTCGAGGACCGTATGCCATCTCGACGACGATGTGAATTATCGTCATCCTGCCATTCTGCCAACCGTCCATCTTTGCGATGCCCACCTGTTAAAACATACGCGACTTTCTCATCGTTCACGTGTCATTCTTAATTACCATATTTTTCCATTAATTTTACTCATGCAAGATGACTATATTTCGATCTTCGTTAAATAACGTTGATTTAAAAAAAAAATAAATTTTGCTTATTAAAAAATGTAGTTACATATTATTTCTTACGCCATGTCTTACATCAAATAACTGAGCAAGACAAGTAATTAAGTAATGTCATCTCAATCAACTTTTGTGCTTACCTTTCTCACGAAAAATGTTCCCTTCTAGTAAATTTGATTTAATAACGTTTGCTTTATAAATCATAATTAATCATGCAAAATTTCTCGAGTTGCTTGTTTTCCCTCGCAGCTCCTGCTCCTTCTCATTGAAAAACTTCCTCACAGCTCTTTCATTGGTGCTAAAGTATGATAAGCGAGACGGGCGAGGCATTGTTTCAGTTGGACACATTCAATCCGCGTTCGGCGACGTCACCCGGCGCTATTACGATCGATATTCGTGCGAGCTATCAAACAATGGGGCATGCTCTCGCGCATGGTAGAAAAAATCTGTGCCCTGTATTCCCTCTCTTCCTCTCCTCCTCTTTCTCTCTTTCTCTCTCTCTTCCTCACTCGTGCTTTTTTTTTATATATCTCAATGTAATGGAATTTTCTATTTATGTCTAGTGCGCGCAGGCAAGCGGCTTTCGCGGAGATAATGGTTTCGTATAACGGTAACGAGAGCCCCGGTGTAAACCCTCGCAACACTTCCTGCGCGAAACATTTTGCACATCGTTACCAAACGTATAAAGCTAGAATATGAAACATGAACATATTCCATTAAGGCAATAATAGAGCTTCTAATTTAAAGAAGAGATGAAATTTTTAATGTTAATTAAATCACATGAAATCCTGTTTGCGAACTAATGAAACATAGTGGACGCGATATTTTCGCTGTGTCGTGAAGAATAAGTTCGGGAACGAAACACAGTGACTCGTGCCAAATCCTATGGAATTATCAAGGAATAAATATTGCTTCTGCTGGCGTGCTCCAATTTATGAAAATGTTAACAACTTTAACTCACTTCCTTGCATATTTTTGTTGCTTATGTCAGGCGGTGATTCTTCCTATTGTATATACAGTTACTCTGCATTTTTCCTCGTTCTCTAATCTTTTTGCAGATGTTATTACAAAGTTTCTTCTCGTTTCTTCGTGATCGATGTCAATCGAGTGCCCATAGATTTTATTTATTTCGCAATTCTTTTTCGTGTGGATTATCAATAAGATTGATCTAAAAAGAAATAAATAAAGTATTAGTATAACTCGACCTTTTAGTTTTCAGCAAGTAGTTATAAAATGTGTAATTACAATGTGAATAAATTATGATCTTTAAGAAGAATAAATAAAGCACAAATCAATTGATTGACTTTTGGCTGTTTTTCGCAAGGAAAAAGCCCGCCTCTTTGATTCTTGATTTTTTTCTGTTAAAATCTTTCTTTTTAGAATAATTATTCAATTTCTAATCTAAATACAATCTCTCTCTCTCTCACTCACTTTTATACGAGAAAAAAATGTTTTCTTAAAACAAAATATATGTCTCAAGAAAACAATTTGTCCACCCATTATTAATTATACGTAATATTATATTTCATCAACATTTTTTAGTTGATTATCTTCATTATTGACGTAATTTGTTTAATAATTTAATCGTGACACTCACACACAATTATCTCTATGTAAATTTATCGAATTTTGTCATTGCTAGCACGTCGATGAACCTATTCTCGCTTATTAACCTTATAACCGTCAACCATCGTTTTTTTAATAATGTTCCTCAACGATGCGATAGAAATTATGCGATATAAATGAAAATGTGATTTGTATAATATAGGAACATGTTTTGCGCGTTATGCGCCCCGAGTTCATCCTGTATTCTAAAGTGCATTAGCGAGTACATTTTAATCACTGGGATTATAATCATGTTTAGAGTGACAAATCGTGCATGCATATGGATTACGTTCACATTATAGCACAGATACATAATGGTGTCATAATAACTCAATGAGCCCATCAGTTGCGCGTATACGTGTATAGTTTTGTGACATTCTGCAATTTATCTCAAAATCTTAAGCACATTAATATTTATTACATTATCTCTGTTTCGTAATTAACTACCTGAAATTCATAAAAAGGTATTTCATTTATCTCAATTATGTATTAATTAATAATGTAATAATGACAAATAATTATGTTAACACATTAATACAGCAGGGTTGTATGTTTCGAATTACGTCTTAAGTTGATTTAATTATTATTTATATTATCGGGTTTGCTACATAAATTATACATTTTAGGATTAAATAACTAATAATTGTAGACCGCTGCTGATAAATTTTTATTACTATATTCCAGGAAAGAGATAAAATTTTTTTATTTACAATCCATTTGTTTTATAAGTATTATTTATAATATTTACGAGAGTTTTCCGATGTTATATGTTTACTTTTGTAAACATAGTCGGGATTTGCGTAAAAAGGGATGGTTTGCGAAAATGAGTTCAAGCAAAATGGAGCGGAAATCAGTTCCACGATCAATTACGCAAAAAGCTTAACGGCTAAGCTTTTGCGGAAGATTCATGAATGACGAAAAGGTCAATTAAACCGTTATGCGAGATGATTAATGATTGTTATAATTGTATTCAGACCATTTGATAATAAAATGGAAAAGGATATTGTACCTTTGATGGAATAAATTTTTTCAGACTTTAACCAAAAAATGAGACTGACATTTAAAGTGACAAAGTAATTTAAAAATTTATGATCTTTCTTAAAATATGACATAACTTATAGGAATGTCGAATGCATTGAATTAAGAAGAATAAATTTTTCAATTTGTAATTAAATAATTAAAATCTATGCAAAATCGTACTTTTCATTCAGTTTATTACTCATTTTTTCATTAAGTTTACTCAATTTACATGCCTGGTAAATCTGTATATTTTCTACACTGTGTAATTTTTTTTAACTTATTGGAATATGAAAATTGATAAAACAAATTAAATGTAAAATTTTTCAATTTCTTTGAAAAATACGTTTGAAATGTATGAAAATAAATGTTTAATACTATTATATGAAGCTATATTTCTGATAAACAAAACAAGCAAATGTTGTGTGTTAATAAAAATGTGCTAACGCTTGAAAGAAACTTTTCGCTATAGATATCAACTAACGCCAGAATTTCCACGAAAATTTTAATATTCTCTTGTCAGATGATTTTACAAACGATAAAATTATTTTTTAATACAATGCAAAGTCTTTCCAAATGAATTACTGTATAATCTTATATGACAGAGTAGATTTTCAAATGTATAATATGCCTGACATTTTTATCGAAATCGTTGGACGTGGGCAGAATCTGCATTCTTCCAAAATAAAATGAGCAAAAGGGAACGGTATAATTAAAACGACAAACGACAGGGAAAATAGAGGCAAAAATAGTCTTACGAGTCCGCCTACAGTCACGTTCAAAATTTCTGTATACGCGATTCTATTCCAGTCACACTCCGTATCGTTGCGTTTCGTGTGGATTAAGATTAGCCACGATCGAAATTGAATCGAAAGCCGACGCGAGCAAAAAGAATTTAGGCTGATGTCAAGTTTCGCGCGATAATTTTGCTGCAAATTGAGATCGAGGCCAAGAGGCTACTCGTTGCGTGAAAGAGAAAAAGAGAGAACGGATGCTATATTTTTTAATAAATATTTCTCTTCCCTACTTTAATTAATTGCTTATAAAAATTATGACATTATAAAACATTATAATATATGTATAATATTGCTATAAAACTAAAAATACATCTGTATCTGATAATAAAGTATGCAAATCACATCCATTAAAATTATATATTCTTATTTGTTTCATCATTTTTTATCGATGCTTACAGTCATCCGAATTTCAATAAAAAATTATAAAAATCTAGTAAATCTTTTTGCTAATAACAAAATATAAAAAATAATATATATTGATCTTGAATTAAATCTATATTGCAAAAGAAGTCTACGTTATGCACGTTGATACAAACCAGTTTTCTGCTTTATATTTTAATTATTTTCGTAATCGCTGTAAAGCAGTGTAGAGACAATTTAATATACATTATTGCAATCAAAATAGCGCAAGTTATTTTCTTAAAGAATTTCTGAAGTTGGTTCGGTATATTTTCTTTACGTAAAATTGTCAATTTTCTAAAAAAAAAAAGTTTCTACAATTTACATTTTCGCCACAGCTCCCTTCACAGTTTTATGGTCTACTATATCATTCGACTATATATTTTACTTCGTGTGCGCAAAGCTTTTTGTACAGTCGGAGCTGCTACAATCGCGACGTACTTCGTGACTTCGCGCGGAAAAGGGAGCAGCGACGCTCGCGTCGAGTGTGTGCGAGTCGATGGAATACGTCCGCCTCGAAAAGCAAACGAAACGATTTCCACGAAGGTATAAAAAAGAAAAGTGCAGGAACAAGCCGCTCGGAAATAGCCGCGGTTAATTTTGCGTTCGCTCCGTGCTATAAGCGTACATCATAGAGAGTTCGCGTCTGTTCATCGTCTGTTCTCCTTCTCGCTCTTCGTTGAGTCTCTCTTCTTCTCCTTTCTTCTATGTTTTTCCTTTTTTTTCTTCCTTAGTTTACTATTTCTTCAAAAATACACTGCTGTGCTTTCGCCGAATTATGGCGGAAATCGCGGGTGTTGCAATATTGATAGATCCGGCGGGTGTATTGATGATAAGTACTTGTGATATTTCCGAATTCCTTATATTTTGCATATATATTAATACGTGAAATTTTTATAGGTATCCATGTTAAATTTGTAAATTAATTGTCTGTAACATAGTTGTAATAATTACGGTTTATTAATAATTGCACCAGATATTCTATTAGATGCTACATAAATAATAAACAGCATGAATTGATATTTCAAAACTAGAAAAAAAAATGTTTAAGAAATGGTTTAAAAAAATATTTTAAATAATGTAACAGGATAAATAATTGAGATTGAAATACTATTGCAATAAATTAAATTATTTAAAGCCTCGTGCAACATGATATTTACCGATAAAATTTGTGGTCAAAACGTAAAAATTTGTTATAAATAAAGCTTGATTACTTTTCGATGAAAGGTACTGTTTCTACTAAATTTCATGTAAATAAAATGTGATCGCATATTCAATATCAAACAGTGATTTATCTGTATAAAAATTGCGGATAGAGAATTTTTTATTGACCAAACGGGGCGTGTTTTTAAAATTAAAAACGTGAATGTAAATTCTTTTGAGCGTTTGAAAGATCAATAATTTGTACCGAGGGAAACGAAAATTGCGGCATGCGCTTGCGCTGGTGGAATTCAATTCACCAATTTCCACGATTATTATTCGCATTTCAGCGATCTTGCAACCCCAAAATGTCAGTCCCCTTTTGAATGCACGATATTCCCGTCATCGGCTATCAATCGAACTTGTTCCTGAGCGTTAATTACGTTATGTCCCGCACGCGCGGTTTTATTGAGATAATTATCTCGTGAAAAATATATGTCTTCGTTGAAAAGCGAAGCAGCGTTTAAATCACAACTATTATGTGTGCCTCGGAAAAATATTATGTTTATTATAATATCAATACTGCATTTTACGTCAAATATTCCGTACAGAATCGCCGTACTTTCGTGTTATTATTTGAAAATTTACAATCTTCCTCGCGATGTGATTATTCAAATTACATGCGGAGTTTGTTTTTTAGTAGTATTTTAAGTTTAGTAAATCTGTAACAATGTTTTTTCTCGTTTCTCTGTTTTCTATAATTGGATAAGATAGAAGAAGCAACTAGTGTGTTGTAGATATCGTCTTCCACGTTCACTTGTTAGCGCGTGTCTTTGTGTTCGAATGATCGAAAAACGTATCTCTCCAGTTCGCTCTTTCTCTCTTTCTCTCGTGTTTCCGCGAAACTCTGTACACATCCGTCAACTCTGCGTGTCTGACCGTTAACCTCCATTTTCTGGCAACAGTCAAGCATGCGAAACGCAACGTTGTAAATTTACGGATACATTTCAAAGAATATCTCGCGACTCCGAAAATTTATCGCGGAATGTTGTGAAAACAGAGTGTTGCAAGACAAAGCTGTACCAGCGTTCGAAGAGCACGAAAATTTGAATCGCGTGTTCCTCAATAGTAGATAATTATTTTGAAAAAATTTCTATTTAAATATTAGATATTTGAAAATATATTTTTCTTTACCAATTTTGTTTCTTTTGCCTTTTACCTTTCTTTCTATTTCCATCACCATTTCACTAAAGAATCAATATTTATTAATTATAAATAAATAGAATATATTCTGTTCATCTATACGCTGACTGCAGAAAAATTGCAAATTTAAAAATTGTTTATTTATTAAATGTTATTGGAATGATTTTGTTTTACTGAACAAAATAATATATTGTTTCGAATGTGTATAGAAACATATAACAAGTTGGGAATAAAGAAGGGAAGAGAATAAAATGCTGAAAACGTTGCAAAGTGCATATCTCACGTAAGCTGATGCGAGTTAGATATGCGTTAAGCGATTAATTAAAGTTTTCTCTTTGTTCAAATACTAACATACACAATACGATGCTATAATAATAACATATTTCAATTTATGGGATGAAAATTAAATAATTGTTTAGTTCTCTTAATTCTGCGGACAAGCATAATAATTATAATTCATACTTTTTATAAATGTAAAAAATAATTTTTATATTTGATACAATTTTTTATATAATCAGATCATTTATAAATAGCTTTATTTTAATTGCAATTTAACATTTAAAATTTTTGAAACAAGAAGATGAAATATAAGTTTGAAGATTTATGCGATTGTAGTATTTACTGTCCCTTGCTCTATGCTTCTGGCGCCCATGCTGGCAACGTTATTTATGACACCCGTCAGCAGCTGCGGAACTGCATCTCTATCTCTAGAGAAGCCGTTCAGCCGAAAAAAATTGGTTAGGACAACGACACCCGAACGATTCTCTGACGTCACGGGCGATATTTCGTTAGCGGGCTAAAATCAATCGGCAACGCTCTAGACAGGCGGTATAGATCCGTAGATCCGCATTTAGAGCCATAAGATTACGTCGGTTCTCTCTCGCGTCATTTGCGAGAACGTTTCCTTGCTCTAATAGTTTCTCGCTCGCGCGCGAAATAGATTTATTTGTGGCGTTGATTATTTTTTCATCGTCACATTTATTTCAAATAAAAAAAAAACCGAAAGAGATAAATGAGTTGACGAATCGTGAGATAGTTCTGTCTTTCTTTTTTACTTTTTATCTGTTATGGTTGAAAAGAAAATACGTAAAGATGCAGGAGATAAAGAGAGTATTTAGTAGTTTAAGTACGATGCATATGCTAATATTACTATATTATAACACACACAAGACAATAAAATTAAAATTAATTTTATTATTTATTTAAAAATCTAATAGAAAGAAAGAGGATTTATATTATTAAATTATTTATAAAGAAAAAGAAAATAGAGTGTTGCTACAAGCACTTTTCGTGGAAATATATTGTAGAGAGAACCTACAGTTTTAAAAGAGCATTTTTTTATGGCGATATTATGTTCTATATAGCTGTATCTTCGCTAAGACATTCTAGAATGTTAAATCCATCATTATAAAAGTATTCTTTCTGAAAGATATACTCAAAGGTTTTCATTTTCTATTTTTTATTCTTATTGCAGACGTGCCGAGCGAGCAGTCTGTTTTTGTGATGCTGAATGGTGAAGAAAGCGAGCTTAAATTTTTAAACATCACTAATCTCAAGGTAAGGGAAAAGTTCCGTTCTTTTACATATTATATAATGTTATAAAGCGCAACGTGTCAAGCAAATTTTCGTTTATCTAATCTTTATATATTTTATTCAAATAAGCGAATCGAATTTTAATTTTTTTTTTTCAAAGTTAATAAATTTCACGCAGACCGAATTGGAAAAAATGCCATTGCCAGACGCTTTCGTCGTAATGTATTCGGTGATCGACAAGGCGTCCTTTCAAAGGGCTGAGGAATATCTCGCTCGACTTCACGATCAAGATCTTCTTCGTGGTAGACCGGCTATTCTGGTCGGGAACAAGGTCGATTTGGTTCGTTCCAGAGTGGTTTCGCCCCAGGGTAAGAGAGAGGCGGAACATCTTTCTTTTTTACACATACATTTTTTCACATACATGGTTAGGCGGTTTTGTGACACTATAAAACTGAACATTCTCACATGATATGGTACATTAGGCACATTCTAAAATAAAAATAAGATTAGACCGTATCTATGTGTGTGTGTGTATGTGTGTGTGTGTAGGTGCATGTGTATCGCTTATTTCAGATAGTTAATCTTTTTATAAATACAAAATTTACATGAATTGTATTTGTATGTTGTAAAAGAAAATTTTATATTTTATTATTAAAAAATAACATTCTATGTTCAAGAAATATATTTATAAGATCTCATCTCTTAACTTGTCTATTTTGAAAAACAAGGATTTTTATTAAGTCTTCTATTATCGTACTTTTATTAAAGATAATAGAGAACTTAAACGACAATAATTTAAACACTTCACCATTTCAATTGTAATACTTCATCCCAAATTTCCGGACTGTGCATTGTAGATGGAAAGTGCTTGGCATGTACCTACCGCGCGAAGTTCATTGAAGTGTCGGTGGGCATCAATCACAACGTCGACGAGCTTCTGGTTGGCATACTCAACCAGATCCGTTTAAAGGTGGTCCAGGGTAACCAGGAGCACCGAAACAGCGGTGGCAGCGAGGGTAGCGCTCATTGGTACAAATCCAGAGGCGTCGTGCGCGCCAGCATGAAAGCCAGGCAGATGCTGACTTGGCTCTTCGGCAAGGAAGATAGTAAATTCAAGAATTGCGAGAACCTCCATGTACTTTAAGTCACTGCGATAAAAAAGAAATCGCAGTCGGGCTGCCCGACTACTGTTTTATTAGTACGTAAGTACGACATGACTCAAGAAATCCCTTTCCCGACGGAAACTTTATTAGAATTCGAGAGACTTTTGAGAGAATTTCCGCGCGTCGGGAAAGGTTCGCGAGAATGTAGTCTGAATGTGCGAAACTGGATGCATCTTTGAGTTAACAATATGTATGTAGCTTAAAGTTTTTAGAATCAAACGTTAAGTATTCGCTATTGATAGTGTTTACGAGAGAGTATCTCGTAATCCTATGGGAAAAGGCGAATATTTGGTCCGTGGACCAAAATGGATACAATTAGCATCGGGTTAACAAAGTGCCAATTAGCGAAAATTATAACGCGCACCGCGCGCACGGTATCTGGGGAAAGGAAAATGTCGCTCGATTCCACGCTCGTTTAACTAGAATTACCTCGTGAGAAATGCGAGTGATTAACCCTTTCAGGCTCAGGTGTGACTGAGCGTTGCTTTTCAGTAACTTTCTCATAAACTTTGTCCTCCTTTTTTTTGAAAGATTAAGTAGCGCTATTAAATTATTCGTTAATGTCTTTCACTCAAGCAATGCTGGATATTCAGATCACTCGTGACAAATTATATGTAATTTTATTTATAAAATAATTTAGAATTGAAGAAATTAATCTTCTGACAATTTCCGTTACACATTTCTCGTTGCTTGTTTTATCTGATCTTATTTTTCGTTAGCATTCTACACTTGTTAAGGAGAAAGCTCTAGCAAAATAATTAAGCATATTATACGTCGCGCATTTTCAATTTTATAATATGTAATTATGAGTGGTGCTGAATCTGGCGGCCCTTAATAACGCAATCAAAAGTTCAAATCAATCATAACGATAAGGAATATGGACTAAAACTGGACCATGGCGCGAATTAATCGCCCTTAAGTTTACGATCTTACTGTACGATAAAATCAATTAATCTTCTGATTTAATACACGTATATACGAAACTTACGTATAAACGTATACTCGTGCAAGCATGTTCTATATAAACATATCCAACGTGTACATCCCTCTATCTAGTCCCTCCATTGACGAGTGTTGATTCTACTACATGGTGTTGCAAACAAAATACCGTCGCTATTCTCGCCTCGCTAAATTGGCTTGCATCGCTAGTGCCATTAATTTCTCGCGTACCAACAGGCTTCCCGCGGCTCGTTATTGTGTGTATAAGGCCAACTTGTGCAATATGCTAATGTTACTTGACATTAAGTTGTACATAAAAGTCATGAGGTTACTTTGCTATCTAACAGTGTTTGTTACGGTTAGAAAACATATAGTGTAAAGCTGCCTATATATATGTTGCTAAAATGTTTCCTACGCCATTGAGCGAATCTATATATATGTCGCGTGCGTGCGTGCATAATTTTTACCATCTATATTTCATGATAGATAATTACATCGATTACGTATTTCAATTCCAGATACGTTAAACGTTATTGTACAACCGCGTAATTAAGTAACTTTTAATTAGCGCGGTTTGAGGTCTGACTCTATAAATTCCTTAATCGAATTATTCTATTAATTATTTTGTAATCCGTTATTTTGTACCGATATGTGTGATACCAATATTGATATAGTACATAATTTACGCGGCATTTTGTGTGCAATATTCTGCCGCAGTGGAAATGAAATCTATAGCATTGCGTGTTTTCCTCGCACGCGCCGTGAGAGAATGGGTACAGCGTGTGTATCCAGAAAACTATAGTCTTCTGAAGAGAGAGAGAGAAATATCCTTTTTCGAATCTTTAAGGAGAGTGTCTAATAAAAGCTGTCTATTTTCTGCGATCTCTATGCCTGTGTATCCGAATTAATACGAATGTAGCGTAAAATCCGAGTGCATAGAATCCTCTGTACACCTACATGACGGGAACAATGTGCGAATGACGTGCAAATTTGCCCTCCTCGTGTGAACCTTTCATTGTCCCTAGACTGTGTATAGAAGAAATTAACGTTTCGGATTACAGTAATACCTAAATTATGGACTTCCTTTCTCTTGTTGCATGAAATATATTTCGAAAAGTGTTTTTGACTCTTAACGATCCAAATAGAACTCAACAAGTTTCTTCCGGCATTCTTCGTTATCGTCGTTATCATCGTCATTCAATTAATTCGATCGCATTAGCGTGAAATGCGAGTTGTGACGAACACGCTGTGTGAAATTTTGAGTTTAAGGATTTATCCCGAAATGTTTCTCTCAGCCGAGGAACCGAAAATTTTTACCAAGTGCCTTCGCGTATTTTTGTAATTTAAGCTATAACTCAGTGTAAGCCCCATGAGTATCGCACTGTATAATCTATTATTATACATATATTATCGATATATTTATTTGTTGTTAATTCATTATGTTACCTGCGAGATCGCCGTATTGTACGCTCTCGGTGGCATAACTTTTTTTCTCCAAAAAATATAGGGATTATCAGGCTAGCTCTTATCTTAAAACTCATTAAAAATGCCAAAGTGATAAGTTTACTTTTTATCTAATTAAAGACTTCATATTTAAAGTTACGCCACCGGTAAATACCCTTGTTTATTCGTTCCATTAGTATCTCCCGAAAGCTATGAATGTAATTTAGTTATTGAAGTGTCATTGTGTCTGCTCGCTGTAATACGTGACGTGACAATACTGCCAGTTCTTTGATTAATAAAATGCTGAGAAAAAATTTTTGCTTTATAGTCCGACATTATAATATAGGCAAGAGTTTTTTCTGTTTGATTATACAGGATTATACGTAAAAATTTTTACGTAATGCATGAATCTACATATTCAACGACGCATGCAGTTGTCAATATATATATACATATATGTATGTATATGTATATGAATGTAAAGTTTAGATTAATAAACGTGGGGATCTATATACATAATAAACTCGTATATACATATAATACAAGTTTATTAATGAAAACTTTAAATTTATTAACTAAATTATTAAGATATTTTATATTATAGAGAATATTATTTTAAAAAAGTTAAAACAAATACTAATTTTATTTCGATTTATTTCGAAGAAGAAGCGACAGTAAAGCTGTTTACGAATTTGTAATGACATTAATATCAGTATTTGCAATTGTAGATTTGACTGTAAATGATAAAAAAATCTAGTAATCTGTAGATCCAGCAACATGCAAGCTGCTTTCATTGTTTTCGCAATAGTTATTAATATATTGCTCCTTCAAATACGCGTCAGGAATCAACGCGCATCATCGTTTATCGATCGCACGCCCGGCGTGTGTTTTTTCGGATCCTATTTGTTTCTTTTCTAAGCCAATATTTATCATAAATCATTAGCATTGAGACACTTGGTTAACAAATACTCGCTCCAGACGCATGCGCTTTATGCATCGATTATTTTGCTTGGTGCCAGATATTGCAAACGTCTGGCCATGGCAGATTGCCACGCAACCAAGGAAAACAAGTAGTACCAAGTACTACGGTTCTTGTAACCTTAGATGCACGTGTTCGTGACAGTGTACGGGAGACGAGATGCTACCTGGACGTCGTGGCACTTAAAGAAGCTGCGATGAAGAACATAAAATATTGGATCAATCGCTGATTTTTACCATAACGCTTCAATTATACATATATATTAATTAAACAAATTAAAAAAAATGGAAAATTAAACGCTCGTATTGTCGCATTCTTGATAATTACATATATACAAGGTAGTTATGTAGGTATATTTATACGCAAGAGCTAAAATAATGCATTAGCGCACATTATGTAGAATAGCTGCACATGTCTCTCTTTGACGATTAAATGCAATTTTTTCATTCGTTCATTATTTGCCAATGCATGTAAATACATTGTCTCTAACACATTGCTTAATGATATATTTAATTTTGTTAGTTTTAATGTGATGAAGCGTTGATAATCGAATTCCGAGGAAGTTCGGATACTGTTGAAACTGTATTTTCAGCGTCAATTATTGTAGAGCAATTGTTGCTGCTTTACGATGCTGCTTTGGTCATGGACGTAATTAACTAATACAATATTTTGCCGCGCTATTAATTATGTATTTTTGCATATACATATACATTAAGCGTATTACACATTTTATATAATATTATTTATTTCTTTATATTAAAATATTAGATGTGTATGCGTATGTGTGTGTTGTCCGATATTTTATAATACTTAAAATGAATGTAACAAGTAAAAAAATGTTAGATTTTTTGGAAATCTTTATCGATGGTGGGAAGATATATTATTACGACCCATTCATGGCATCTGCAAAGCCAACTACATGCAAAGAAGCTATACGGCGATGGGAGGAAGAGAATCAACAAAATGCAGCTACGGCGACGGAAGTAATCTTAAGCTTTCAGTGGCCGCCAATAGAGAAGATGGACAATGCGCTAGCAGCTTTGGTGAATTGTGAAAAGCTTTCCCTATCGACAAATATGATTGAAAAGGTTGCAGGTAAAAATTTAATGCATTACAAAATTACAAAAAAAATTTCAAGTGTCAGGATGACTCATGGAATAAGTGTCGCATGAATTTTTACGACACGATACGATACGATTTTCTTGTTGAAATAATTATTGCTGTTGCTTCTAATAAATAATTATGTAATATTAATTGATGCATCTCTAAAATGCGATATATTTTTGACGGATTTCAGAAGTATGAGCATACATGTTTTTACAAAAACAAAAAATTTTCAAAATTATTTCTTTTTATATTCCTCCGCTGAGTTATCATGGATTAATTAATCAGCGATTCATGAATTAATCGATTTATGTAAATCACGATTTTAGACGCCGCATCAGAATTGATGCATATTCGTACTCGTGACGTTTATCGTATGCGTAATGCATATTCAAGCGTGTGACTGTCTCGCGACACATCACGATGTAAATGTAATTAGAAATTTCACGTTGTTACGAATGGACCGTGCAAGAACGCGCTTTAATGTCTTCATTTGTTGTTATCAGTTTGCTTGTAATAACAGACAATACTGTCCATTATAATTTCATGCGACAATTATTCGATCGTTTAAGTCACGACATGCTTTATCGAAATATGTTAAATTGATATACTATATTTTTGTTATTTAAATTACATATTCTTTCAAATTCTTTATTAATAATTGTTACGATATAACACGCGCGACATTTAATATTGATATATAATAAATTGTAAATCTAGCAATATTATGATGCGATAGAAATATCATATCATGCAAATATAAATTAACTTTGTTAAATATGTTTTGCTTTTTTCGTAGGCGTTGGGTCTCTGAAGAATTTAAAGATCCTGTCATTAGGTCGTAATTTCATCAAAGGCTTCGCCGGTCTTGAACCATTAGGCGACACTCTCGAGGAGCTTTGGATTTCTTACAATTGTATTGAGAAGATGAAGGGCATCCAGGCGATGAGAAATCTTCGGGTACTTTATATGTCTAATAACTTGGTGCGAGAGTGGAACGAATTCGTGAGGCTACAAGAGCTTGCAAATCTTCGAGATTTAGTTTACGTCGGCAATCCGTTGTATGAAAGTCTCGAGGTATTTATTACATCAATGTATTCTTTAATAAATATTGTACAAAACGTAAAATATTCTTTTTGTACATAACGTTGAAAAAAAAAACTTACTTTTCAAAATATTTTAAAATATTATACCCTAGAGAAATATTTATATACAAAATAGTAAAATGGATTCAATTAGATGTATATATGTTGTAATAAGTTTAAATAAATTTAAATATTATTAAAGATATTATTAAGAAATTTTCTAAATGTGCATAATTTTAAATGTTTTATCATTTTTATATACTTATATTTTGTAGGTAGAGCAATGGAGAGTCGAGGTTGCACGACGTTTGCCAAATTTGGAGAAACTCGATGGTGACCCTATAATACGAACAGAAGAAAATCCAATTCAATTAAACAAAACTGATTCATCAAACGATTTGCTTAATCAAGAAGCTAGCTAATAATTTTAAATATTTTATAACAAAATATATAAAAAAATTTGATTGTCTATTAAATCTAAATTATTTCTACAAATTAAAGATGAGATTTTTTAAATCTAGATATTTTCAAACCAGATTGATAGAGGCAATTCGAATGTTTATATCTCTCGATCCTCGAGACTCGAAAACTTTGAAATATTTGCATCCAGCTTATTTTAAATCTGTAAATAAAATAAATAATTATTATTTTTGCATTAAATAAAAAAGTAATCTTTTGTTTGTATAAAGAATTCAGCTATGTGAGTTGAGTAACGAATACAGAATTAACAATGTTAACATTATATAACAAAATATCATTAACAGTAAATTAAACATTTTTGGCTGTAATGTCTAAGTATTACATAACACTGACATTTTCTAATTAACAATATGGTCATAAACTTGTGGTCAATCAGAAAAGATTATTAATCACTTAAACATTTATGTTAATTTATTTGTCTCACAATACAAGATAGATTGTACATACCTTTCAGGTAGTTGAAAAAAGTTGGAAAAGCAAATAGTAGCTAGAGTTTGATTGGATTCGATGCACGAAATATATTGAGAATCAAACAGACGAATCTTACTCTTCGTAATCGTTTTCTTTTCTCTGTTATTGTTCTCTTTTATTATACAAGGCGTGCAAAATATTAAGGTGTACCACGCGGAGCGCTCGTTTGTATAATTATCGTATTTTCCTTTTTTTGTATAATTACGTAACGAAGTGATACGTGCATTAGAAAAATTGACATATGTGCGTTTGAATTCTTTCTCTTTCATTTCTGTCTGTCCTTACTTCTCGCTTTCTTGCACGTTTAATTGGTCTACATTCAAATTTTGATATACCAATAATGGTATACCAATAATGTAACATAAATCCGCGACTTACTTTATATTGACATACATTATATGCTTATGTATTCTAAATTATTCATGCAAATTATTAGATACG